AAGACTGCACAAAAAACTTCTTCCGGATTCCAGCCCTGCGGTGTCACCCTGGAAAGGTTGCCTTCCAGGGCTGCCAGGAGGGGAAGGGAGGGGAGGGGCCACCCTTCCATGGACTGTCTGGCTGGAGAGCCGCCAGCTTTACCCAGCTCCACGGAGAGTCGCTACAGTAACGGAGTGGAGGCCGCCCTACAGGAGTGGAGGCTGCCCTGCAGGAGCCTCGACAGGAGGCAGGAAGGGCACAGAGCTGGGAAATGAGGGGTCCGGGAGATGGTCCTTCAGGGATTGGCTTCAATGGTTCTTGCAGTAAAAGCAGCTCTGGGACTTGACAGCCTCTAGGCCCTGCTTTGCTGCTCTAGCACCTTCTGCTACGGAGCTCCCACTTACTGGGCATCCCCATCTGAAGCCATCTTCTGGAGCCTGGAAGCCCTCTGCTTGCACCATATGCATGAAAATGCCACGTCGCTGCAGGTTAGCGACTTTCCCCGCCCCAGGAGGCCCTGGCGCCCCTGCTGCCCACTGCATGCCTCCTACACGTCTGTGTGGCTACCTCCCGGATGTGAGGGTACAGCTCGCCTTGGCCCTGGAGCCTGCTTGCCCTTCTCAGCTGAGCACAGGAGCCCTCATCTGGCAGCTTCCAGCTGGGATGCCACACTGTCCCTCTGCATGGAGCCACACTGTCCCTCTGCATGGAGCCACCAGTTTAGGCAGCCCTGACTGTGGCTCCTGGGAGTTTTTGGTGGGCCACCATGAGAAGCACTGCTCTCAGCACTTGGGGAGGGGGCCCAGGTGGCAGTGCTCACGTCCATGGGCACACAGCTAACACCACACACCTGTGGTCACTCGAGGTGGGAGCACCTGCTATTGGGTGGGGTTTGCTCACGCTGCGCCCTCTCTGAGCCTTGGCAGAGGGTCACTGTGTGCCTGGGTCTGCCCTCCACAAGGCTCTCTGTCTTCCTTGTGAACCGTACTGGTCTCTTGCCCATTTCTGCCGGGGAATTGAGGTTCTCCCGTCATCCAGAGGGAGTCCTTGCAGGGCAGCTCATGTGGCCAGCATCCTCCCTCTGCTGGGCTCCCCGCACTCTCTTAGATATGTGTGCCAATGAGCAGAATCTCCTATTTTTGACAGTTTTATGACCGTCTTCCTGGCCTTCAGAGTTGGGATGTGGTGTGCTCCTCCGTTTCAAAGGCTTTTGAACGTGTCTTAACCATGTGCAGGGTCCTGCACACCTTTAGGCAGATTTGTTCCCATTACATGATCTTTTTTTTACTGCTGCTACATTAGGGATATGGTTTGGATCTCCTTGATGGACAGAAAGACAATGGGTTCACGTCCAGCAACTTCTGACCTCACTCATGGATTCCAGTGACTGACGGATGACTGCCGACTCTTGGCCCTGGGTACTGTTAGTTTCATTCATCCCGATTTCTTTTTCTTGTCTGACTGCATTGGCGCGGGCCTCTGGTGTGTGACTGGATGGTCTGTCTGGTCAGCTTGCTGGTCCTCAGGGAAGACTTTGAATGTTTCAAAAGCAGATCAGATGGCCACTGCAGGTTTTCTGTTGATGTACTTTGTGATACAATGCAAGGCTCCCTTTGTTTTCCTAAAAAGCTGAATATTGTTATTTTAATCGAGGTGAAATTTTAATAACTGTTATTCAGAGGACCACACAATTTTTATCCTTTATTCTACATTGAATTACAGTGATTAACTCAATCTTCCATTCTTGGGCAAATCCAGTTGGGTCATGATTCATCAATCTATGAAAACAGCTAAATCCAAGTTTGTTGATAATTTGCTCAGGGATTTGTATTCATTAACAGGCAAGACTGGCCCATCATTGTCTGTCACTTTTCTTAAAGGTTCTTGTTGTTTTTGGACAGTTTTTGCTAGTTTTGGACTTGGTTTTTGTCAGCATGGACGGGCCTCCAGCTGGCTTTAGACACAGTCATGTTGGATTTTGGAGGTTGTTCTTACTCATTTGGGGCAAATCTCTTGCCAATTTGAGACATGGTCCCTATCAGGGTTTGGGACAACAAAACTTTGGGGAAGTGACTCTTTTTGAACTCTCTGAACAAATTTGTGCAGAGTTAATTTTTACTTCTGAAAGCCTGGGGAGAGCTCACCAGGGCAGCCAAGGAGATGTTTTTCTCTGATAGGGATTTTTGTGTGTTTATAATAATAAAACAGTGAAGATTCTCTTCTGCAAGCTTTGGTAAGTCGTGTGACTGTAGGCTAGGATCCATGCCATGTGTATTCCCTAATAGTTTAGAACAGGTTTGCACTGATTTCACATAATACTGTCAGTGCCATCTCCAGTGTCCACCTGTGGTCACCATGCCCTCTTTCCAGCCCATCTGTTCCTTCCTCGGATCACTCAGGGGTCACAGACCAGCTTCGATCAGTAGCCCCTATTTCTTCCCGCCTTCTCCTCTCACACGAGCATGACATAATCCTTTTCCACCTGGGCAGATTTCTTCTAATGGCACATATGTTGTATTTTTTCCAACGATTTTTACTTTCAATCTTTTTTCTAGTCTTATAACTTTTTACTAAACGTGTCTTATATCCATATAGTTGGATTTTTCTTTATTCAAATCATCATCAGCTCTTAATTAGATGTTAAAATATTTTCTTTTTTCAATAATTACTGATATATTTGTAAATCTACCACCTTACTCAAAGAGGAATATATAGTCCATCTATTCTGTTCTTCTTTCTCTTACATTTTTTGCATGAACAGTTTTTATTTTCTAGTCTTCCCATGTATCATCTTAGAACTTACACAGTCTTGTGAGTCTTTCAGTGGATTTCTGAAGACCTTTTAACGAGTATCTTTGTTTCATCCAAGTGTAACACGGTTGATCATCCTTCATACCAGAAATCCAAAATCACAAATGCTCCAGAATTTGGACCTTTTTGAACACCACCATGTCACAGGGGAGCGTTCCACACCTGCTCCATGTGGGGGATGAGTCAGAGCCTGGTGTGAAGTCACCTCCATGCCCCCCGCATACGGCATATACGGAATCTTGTGTGTGAACCCGGGTCCCATCCGGGAGTCCTCCTGTGTGGGCGTGTGTATTCTGAAGCTCGAGAACACCAGCGCCCAGGTGCTCTGGAGCCAGGTGCTGGGGCGCTGGAGTGCCCACGTCTCTCTCGGGCTCCGGCTGCCCTTCTGGAGTTCACAGGGTTCTGTGGGGCGCTGGAGCACCCGTTCACGCCCAGCAGAGGCCGTGCTGCCGGGCTGGCCTGCCTTCCCTCTGCTAAGCGGCTCACAGTGCCTGGCCCTCCTGTGTCTCCACCGCACCCTACTTGTCTTCCGCCTCAGCAACACCACCTGGGTCCTCGGCCACCTCAGCAACACCACCTGGGTCCTCGGCCACCTCATGTGCCCACGCATTTTCAGCTGAGTGCTGGACGCTGTACACAGGACTGTGGGTGGGGCTGGAGGCCTGGGTGCTGTCCCGCTTGCATTCACCTGTTGGGCAGGTGGACTCTGGGAACCTGGTGTCCCCTCCACCCATTTACAGAGTAGACATTTGAAGGTTGGCATCGATGCCTTTAAGGGTGTATCCACAGAGTGACCTGGGGTCCCACAGTTGGCCTTCTAGGTTCCAAACAGCCCCTGGCTCCCTGTCCCCAGCACTGCCCTGGCAGGCTAGTGGCTGTGAGGAGCACAGGGCCATGAGGGACAGTGTTGGTGGCACTACTGCTGGTCATCTTACCTCACTGAACGTCACGGTGTCCCTCAACAACTCTGCACAGACGTGCAGCATTGCCACCCACATTCCAGGCAGCCCCCACGTCCAGCTCGCCTGCCAGAGGAGCTCGACGGGACTCTGCGCCTGGGCTGCTCGGGCCCTTGCCTGCTGGGCTCAGCCACCCCTGCACGGAACTTTCACTCCTTCCCAGAATGTCAGTTCTCTCCTGCCACCAGGGCCTGAGGTGACGTGGGTCAGCAACCCCTGCCTCCAGGGACACGGTTAGGGTTAGCGGAGCTCATGCCCTGAGGGGGTGTAAGTGGGGCCCCGGGAAAGTCGGGGAGGAAGCCACCAGCAACTCAGGAGACCAAGACCAGGGGCAGGAGGGGGGCTGCAGAGACTGCCCCCCCCAGGTCCCACGGCACGGGCCCGGGGGGAGGGCTCCCTACTCTGATCCTGGAGGTGAGGTCTGCGTCCCCTGCCTCAGGGGCTGGCAGTTCCCAGGCCAGCTGGCTGTGGGTTGGAAGTGCACCCACTCCGAGGCTGCCCACCTCAGTTGCCACCAGAGCCTGCACCCTCCACGGAGGGTCAGGGATTCGCTCTGTCACAAGAGTCCTGGCTGCACTTCCAGTTAGTGGCTTCTGAGGCCCCCACGCCATGAGGCTCTGCCTGCTGCTCACGGGCGCCAGGCGTCTGCACCAGGTGGGCTCAGGGTGGCCTAGCTCGTGAAGCCACCCCGTCACTGGAGGGAAGGCCCCGTTGGGACGGGCCCCCAGGCATGGCTGGTGAAGTCACCTGGGAGACGGTGGCTGGCTCGCTCCCTTCCTCTCCCTCTCTTCCTGCCTCCATCCCCTGATGGGTCTTGCACAGGCTTCCACAGTCCCCCTGCCCGTCATGCGGTCTCTGCCCTGTTTGTCATCCCTTAGGCCCTGAGAGCCACCAGGGCTGGTGGGCGCAGCGCCCAGGCAGGCAGGTCACAGAAAGCGGGGCGTCCATTTGGAAGTGGACATGGGGAGCCTCCTTCAGATCCCACAAGGAACACCTAGCAGGTGGCACAGTTTGGTGAACCAAGCTCCTTGGGTGGCCACCTGGTGACTCGCCTGTGCCGGCAGTCCTGCCGCAGGACAGTGTAAAGGCCAGGGTCCCTTGTGAGGTGTGGCTTTCTCTGCTGGCACAGACACGGAGCTGCTGAGCCTCATCTTCAGGGGGCCTGGGTGGAGGCTCTGCCCAGGACCATGAGGGCAGCGGGGAGCCTGGACTCTGGGTGTGGGCCCTCCCTCCATGCGGCCATCCCTTACCTTGTGTCCAGGGTGCGAGGACCGGGTCTGGGCCACCAGCAGCCGCACCACGGCGTCCCATTGCTCAGCTGTCCGGCGGTCCCTTGCGGTCACTGTGAAGGCCACCTGCTCAGAGGGGATGCGCAGCTCCCGGGTGGCGTAGACTGTCCCGTCTGCCCCGACTTTGAAGTCCAGGCTGTTGGTCTCATATTGCATCCCCTGGCTCCCCAGACAGCTGCTGAACTCAACTGGAAGAGGAGGGGGGAGACGGTCAGGGTGGCCAGGCGGGCCAAGGGTGGCAACAAAGCCAGCGCATCCTGGGTCTGCAGAGAGCCTCGGGAGGAGCTCACTGAGTTCTCCACCCCACTGAGAAGGCCGCCTACTCCATCGCTGCCCCGAGGGACCCCTGGGGGCGCACCACTGTCCTAATGCAGCTGCTTCCCCTCGGCAGACGCGGCTCCCCGCGCTCCCTTGGCATTCGCCACAGTCTGTGAGTGCCCGGTGGGCACCACCAACCCAGAGACACTTCCTGGTCACCCCCTTGCCTCACGCAAACCCCCGCTGCCTGTCAAAGCCCTGATGGATCTATTTCCGCCCAAGAAAACCGTGTGTAGGAAGGAAGCCGAGGAAGCTGGCATCCGGGGACTGTCCCTGATGGCAGGGGAGTCCTGGGAGCAGAACTCAGATTGGCTCATTGAGCAAGAATGGCGGCTGTAAGAGGCCTGGGGCAGGCCGGGCGGGGGGGACCGGGCAGGCCTGGCCCAGCCACGTGCTTTCCTGGTTAGTTGCCAGCGGAGTGGAGGAGTCGGTCTAGTGACACCGCAGGGTACCACACATCGCTTTGCTTCCATAACATTAATCGCGGAACCAAGTTGCCAGCCCCTCCCGTGGCGCCAGCACCAAGGCCACTTTTAACTCGGTTGCAGAGAAAGACGACTCAGGAGCAGCACATGCGTGGGCCACATTTGTGCATTTCTGACGCGTGTTTTCCACAGATGTCGCCTATCTCCACGGTCAATCGCAAAGCACCACCAGCCACTGTCAAGACTGCTGATAGAGGCATGGGACAGTCACCCAGTGTTCGTCAAAATGTGGGCTCCAAGCACCTGATGGAGGGCTTCTCTGAGGGACGCCACTGTCACTGCGTGCATTATTTAATGACTATTTATTCCAAAGCAAACACGGCAGGGCGACTCGCAGCTGCGTCTGCTGAGCGGCTCCCGCGAGCCCACCTTGGACTGGGGACCTCACTATTCAGGTGTCTCCTGGTTCCCGACACCTCCCGCTCGTGGGTGGAGTATAAGAGGGTTTTTAAATGTGCAGACGCCAGGGTTTCCCCTGGTCCAGAGCAAGCCGGCCAGCCCCAGAGCTCCGGCAGCGACTCTGCTGACCATGGGGCGCACGAGGCCCGGGCTGCGGCTCCCTGGGACAACCCCGCCTGGAAGGACGGGGCAATGAACATTTTTTCCAGGTGTCAGGAGAATCCCAAACTGCTCTACAGCACTGTTTGCCCCAGTGGTGAACAGACTGGAATCAGCCACAGACTGAGGGGTCAATCCTCTCTGCCACCCAGCAGCCACTGACCAGGATGCAACAAGAGCTGGCGCCTGGCGGGAGGGGAGCATGGATCACAGGCAGCTCCTTTGTTCTCGGAGAGAGAATTTCTCTAAGATGGACGGACGGAGCGGACGGCAGCAGGAGGGATGGTGCTTCTGCAGGGGCACATGACCGAGCGGCTGGGTTTTATAAAAACAGGCACAGAGCTCCCGCCACCTCTCCATGAGCACCACACTGCCCTGGGGAGGAGCGCAGCATCTGAGCTGCCCGCACAGGCAGCCGTGGCGCCACCGTCCTCGGACGTTCCCATTTTACATATGAGGAAACTGAGGCTCAGGGACATGCCACACCTTCTTGAGGTGACAGGAACAGGAGGGATTTGAAGCTCATTAGAAGATCTCAGTGGACCCTGGGCCTCCTCTTGCCCGGCTCTGTGAGGCTGGCTGGAGAGCCATCACACCTGGCCCTGTCCTTCAGCACAGCTGGCCTTCAGCACACCTGGCCCTGTCCTTCGTCACACCTGGCCTTATCCTTCGTCACACTTGGCCCTGTACTTCAGCACACCTGGCCCTGTCCTTTGTCACACTGGGCCAGACCTTCATGACACCTGGCCCGAGTGCCTCATGACTTGCTTCAGTGAGACACAGGCCCCAGGACCAAGGCCCTTAGCCAAGGTCGCATGAGCTTGTCCACTGCATACCTGCTGGGCTCCCCCTAGCACCTGGCAGTGGGGTTCCACCTGGGAATGGGACAGAACCCAGGCCCTTAGGGGCAGTGACAGGGCATTGGCCTGCCCAGTTGCTATGGAGTCAAACTGGAGCCCTAGCCAGACTAGGGACCCCTGAGGTGGGCATGTGGGGTGGCTGGCATGTGGGGTTCCATCTCCGGCTCTGCTGGGGACAGGCTGTGGAGTGTCAACATTGGAGTCCTGGGCATCTCTGATGTTAACAGCCACTGAAGTGTACGGCAGCATGGTGAGATCATGTTATGTGAATTTTACCTCAATTTAAAGAAAAGCATTTCAGTGGCTTTCTGAGCCCTGAGTTCTTGGCTGCTAGAATGACAGGGAGCGGGTGCCTGGGGCCACCAGTGTCCCGGTCTCACAGTGTCCCTGGATGGGTTGGGAACTCCACCGTCCTTCCCTCTCCCTCAGAGGCCTCCGGACCTGCCAGGGCAGGGGCTGTGCACCTGGCACTCCATGTGCCCCTCAGGGGAGGACCTGGGCTCGCTGGCAGGTGGAGACAGAGGAACCTGATATCTGGGAGGAGAGTCCCCAGTGCCACAAAGGACCAAGTCCGAGAGCCCAAGCGAGGCGGAGCTCGGAGCCGGGGAGCCGCGGAGCAGCACACAGAGCCTCAGCGAGTGGAGGTGCCCTGCCGGCTGCAGCCCTAGGAATCAGTTCCCACAGGAGCTTGGACGTCTGACCTGCAGGAACTGTGCACACCACAGAGAGAACATGGTGACAAGTCTGCCGCTAGAGTCCCGGGGAGTCGCGCACCCCAGTGGCCAGGTGCAGACCGCGGCAAGGAGAGGACCTCTGCCCTGGTCCAGTGATGGGGAATCAGCTCCCGAGACTTACAGGTGGGTCCCCTCTCGGCAGGGTGCAGGACCAGCCCCACGGGTGCCACCTCCTCCTCCCAGGGAGCATTCAGGGCCCAGTTCACCGGGGCCAACGAGCAGGGCACAGGAAGCCCACTCCGCCCAGGAGTCTCGAGTGTTCAGAGAACTTGCAGCCGGGCTCCGCGCATGTCAATGAGCCCAGGAGGGGTGCCGGACCCTCCTGGCTTCAGTTCTGAAACCCAAGGATCGCCACTTCCCTCCCTGTGCTCCACCAAGCACTGGCAGCCCTTCTGTCTCTCCAGGATGGTGCCCACGCCCCCTGGCCCTGCCTCGAGGTGCAGAGCCTGCTACAGTGCCTGGGGTGGCCGGAGAAGGGGCAGCTCCTTGCTAGGAGGCTGTGGGCTTTATCTCACTGCTTTTAATTGCTGGCTCTAGGGAGGCAGACGAGTGGGGACAGGTAGCGAGTGGCACATGGTCACTACTTCCCTGTCTGCAGAGGCAGCCTGACGTCCGTGGGGGCAGCAGGCCACTGTGGCCCTAGGACGGGCTTACAGGGGAACTGTGCTGTGGCCACAAAGCAATGCTCTGATCACACATTGGAACCCTGCACTTCTGAGGTGGTGAGAGAGAGAGACGTTGGAGCTGGCAGCAGGGCTCCAAGGAGCCGGGCCGGATGTGTCTTTAAAACACAAGAAACAGGACCCGGGAGCGGGCTATTTTTAGAGCTGCCAGCCTCTCTCTCTCATTAGCGACTTGCACATCAGGACTGCTAATGAAATCATTGGCAATTAAGGCTCAGGTGGAGAGCGGCCCTCGCTGTCCTGAGAGGCCCCGCCCACTGCTGCAGGGAAGGGCCTCCGGGTGGCTCCCGCCCTGGTCGGCTCCTGCTCCATTTTAGCAGGAGTGCAGCCTGTTTCGCCTCCCGTCTCTGCTTTGCTCCTGCTCTGGCTTCGTCCCTTCAGGCTGGGGGTGTGGGGGGTCGTGGTCTCTTCCCCTCCAAGCTGTCACAAAGCTGCTCTTGGCAGGAAAGGAGAGGGGAGGCTGGGGGTGGGTCCCTGGTGCCCACGTGGAGCTGTGAACCCAGGCAGTGCCCCGCCGGAGGGGAAGGAGCTCTGGCAGAGAGGCCCCAGGGCCTTCTGTCCCCCGCCTGCCCCGCAGCTTGGCAGGGCCGGTCCTAGGCTGGTGTCTGCTCCTGGGTGGCAGAACCTGGGTGCGGGCTGCTCCTGAGCTGGTGGGACAGTGAGGACGTGTGAAAACCGCGTGAACAGGAGGTTTCACGACCCCACACCCCTCAGGACGGCTTTCTTCACCCTCTGTCCTTTTGAATTAAAACCATACACATAAATAAAAAATGTGTCTTTGCCCCCGACTGCCCACGTACCACCAGGAGGAAAACTTAGAGGGGAGAGCTAAGAAGCAGACTCCTCCACACCCAGCGGCGGCCCCGGTGGGGGCCTGTGCCCGGGTCCCTGCAGGTGCCCTCAGCCTTGGCATGACTCTCCTGGGAAGAAGGCCTTGAGCTTGGAAGCCGACTCTGGGCCTGGGAACGGGCAGGGCTTGGCCTTCCAGGGAGAGGGCCGGCCGGAGTCCGAGTCTCCGCCAATCTCAGTGCACACTGTCCAGAGCCCCCAGGGTTCTGAGTGAGGGGCCTTTGCCGGGATCTCACGGGAGACAAGTCCTGACCTCTGCCACCCCCAGCCACTGCTTCAGCCCTCAGCTGCCCCAGAGGTGAGGGCGCACACGTGTCACTCTGGGTCGGGGTCAGGCAAGGGCCAGGGCGGGCGGGACGGCAGCTTGGAGCAGGGGAAGAGCGGTGCCTGGGGTGCAGGAGCCCCTGGGCCTCCCCTCCGTGGGTGCGCGGGCACTGGCAGCCGGCAGCCCGTGCATCTGGCTCATCTTCAGCTGTAGGTTTCTGGAGCCAAATCCAAACACGAGCCTGAACTTTACCAGCCTGGCTCCCTCCGCCAACATGCGCAGGTCGGCTGCCAGCCATTTTTCTGAAGTAAATAAGAAATGCAAACACGTTTCTCCCGTAGCTCACAGCAGCCTGCCCCGGCAGCCTCTCCCCGGTCGGTCCTCTGCTCAGGCCTCGTCCCAACACTCCTGTGGCTTTGGGATGCTGGGGGCCTTG